ATTTATTGCACCAGGTCTGTACACAGACTTGACAGCCTAAACAGTGCATCCTTTTGTTGAGTAAGAAACGTCGCTGCTGGCGATCCAGGTCCTTTTACTAATGATCCTCTGGAGGTTTGGATGAACCAAAGATCTTAACATCCCCGTGCACAGACTACTTTTGTTTTGCTCGGTTCATTTCTTCCTCCTGTGTGTTTTTGTGCAGTGTTTTCAGACTCTGTGACTCCACAATAAACCTCAGCTCCTCCTCGTCATTAAACCTGATGAGACGTCTCTCTGCAGCTCCATGAACAGCATCTTAATGTCTGTCCAGTATCTGAGCAGCTGTATGTGGAGCTGAGACTCCGTCCAGTACCTCATTATCTCCTGGATCTCTGCTCCTGTCTGTGAGAAACCCTCGAGGTTTTGCTGAGAGCTCCTCTAAAGTTTAAATGTTGTTAACTTTATTCAGACTCTCCAATTAACTGCACAGACCCTCTGCAATGGTTGGCGATTAGAATATGAACGCCGGCTGCCACCAGGAGTTTGCCTCATTAAACTTCAGCTGCTGATGTTGAGCTAAACCCACACACTAATGGCTGTTTGACACAAACCAGTCTCCGAAAACAGTTTGAAAACATGTGGCTGTGCCGCTGCTTAAAGGAACAGTTTAACATTTTGGGCAGACTGAGGGTTTGGAGGGAGGTTTTTGTCACTGGGAAGTTATCAGGTTTGGTGGCATCGTTCCTGAACACAAAGCTGTGATCACTGAGTGTATCTGTAAACCTTCACTGAACCAGGGATGCTGCACAGAAGCACTGTGCGGATGGATACACTGTTGTTTGGAAGTAGTTCCAGGACAAATGTCTCCCTAAAGTCACAGGTTGTGCTTTTACATTTCTGTTAGTGAACAAGCTAAACAACCAGATTAGTGAATGTAGACATGTTCATATCTTTCACCAGGCTAGGAGTTTCCCTCTGCTTCCAGTCTTTATGCTAAGCTAGGCTAACCATGTCCTGCAGACTTGATATTGAGATCCATCTCTCTCACTCTCAGAAAGAATTTGCAGTATTAGAGGAGCAAGAAAATACCATCAAGACTAAAAGTTCT